CATGGCTTTATGCTCAGTTGGTTTTGAGTTTTTCCACAGAAGAGATGAGTGAGGAAGAAAGGTAGGCCCCGGGAAGATTTTATACCCGGGCGGGCGAGCGCTCGCTCCATCTCCCAACATGTACTCTGATGTCCAATCTTTCAATGAAGTACTGATCTGGTCCCGCAAGCATCAAGTCTACCGTAGTTCTTTTGTTTTCGTTCCTGGCACCGCAGTCGGCAGGCACAGACATGATTTCCCTCATTCCTCTTTTTGGTTTGCGCAGTCTTTCTTGCACACCACAAGCATGTTGAAGAACGGCTTCATTTTCGATTTTCGCGCAACTTTTCCAAAGCGACCAGCCATGATCGAAGGTGGTTGAACTTTTGAGCTGTCCAAAAGCGCAAGACAGAACTTTCATCGAAAGGTCTAGGTATGTTTTGGACTAGATAGCGAAAGAAGGTGCAGAAGCGCACATAAAACGGGTGTGCCAGTTTTTGGAAGAGGAGAGCCGCAGCAATATGGTTATGATCCACGGTTTTTGGAATTAAGGCTGGAAAAATTGAATGAGTTGCAAGGAGAGGACGTGTCGAAATGTTTATATGCCCGGCCAAGAACACCGAGCACGTGAGGTCGTATGGAGCGGGTTAAAAAAAGGCGCACCAGCGACACCATGCACCATGGGACATGAGCGAAGCTCCGCGCATGCCCCGTCGCAAGCCGATCCGGGAGAGCCCGTTACAGCACAGCACAGCACATCACAGCACATCACAGCACATCACAGCACATCACAGCATGTCAGCTAAGCTTGCAGATTGAGTAGAGAAATGATCAATTCTTCATACCAAGATTAGTCTACCACCAAAATACTATATGCACCTCTATATCCCACTATTCCTCCATCTACCGCTTAACCAACCCGGCAGCAGCAGCCTTCATCTCCGCCTCCTCATTCTTCTTCCTCTGGGCCTCAATCTCAGCCCTCGCCTTCCTCTTCTCCTCTTGTTGCAACTGATCCGGTCTTCGCTCGGCAATATCTTTTGGCTTGTTATCCGAGAAGAAGAATTTCAGACCCTTCTCGATGATGTAGCAGGCAACGAAGTCGAACGCCATGATACTAGTGATCATGATCTTGAAGTCGGTGGTGAAGGGCACGAGCTTGAGCTTCTCGTTGAGCTCGGGGATGAATTCGGTGGCGCAGGAGAAGGCGACACCGGAGACGGAGACGAGACCCCAGTACATGCCCTTGTTTTCGCGGATGGACTCGCGGAAAGGTCGGCCTTGGTAGTTGATGGCGAAGGTAGAGATTTGTTGAATGAGTTGCAGGAGGTAGATTGCGGAATTAAGCAGAGATGGCTCAAAGTCCTTCTCTAGATCTGGGTTGGGGTCTTTGGGCTCAACGCGCTGGACGTATTGGCTGACGTAGATGAGGGTGATGATATGGATAGCGAACTGTCCGAGTACGGAGCCGATGATGTACGTGTTGAAGATGTTGTGTTGAGGACGTTCTTTCGACAAGGTCTCGACGGTCTTTGCACGCGAGATGGACAGGAAGCATACGCTCATCATCATACCGGAAATGGTTACCTGGCCGTCACCGAACTTGATACCATCCAGGTAGAGGACTGACAAACTGTAGGCGGAGATCAAGCAGTTGAGAGCAAGAATCTTGTACATCTGGATGGTAGCGACGAGTGTGCAACGACCTTGACGAATGATGTTGGGAATGGCAACGACGTTGGCGAGCTTGGAGGTGAATGGTGCAGCGACGGAGGCATCACCAAGCTTGATGGTTGGGGGCTCACCGGCCAACTCTTCCATCTCTTGTGCCATCATCTTCTCTTGCATTTGCTGAGCGAAGTTGGCGGCGGCCTGAGGAGGCTGAACTTGACCAGGCTGCTGTTGAACAAGGGTACCAGTAGATGCCGATCCGTTAGCAACGCCGTTAGCTCCGGGGAGTAGACCCTTCCTCTTCGCTTGGTTCTCCATAGCTTTCTCGTAGTGAGGGTTGGTCGGACCAGGTGGGTAGAGATGCGCGATCATGATCGGAACAGGTGGCTGGGGTTGGTTGAAGCGGGTCATGAGGTTGCACTGCTTCTCGTATACGTTCTTCATCTGAGTGTTGCGGAAGTGCTCGCCAATCTTGTCAAGATCCTCGCGAGTACCGTTCAGAAGAGCGACACCAATGTGAGCCTGCTTCAGCGCACCAACGTCGTTGGTACCGTCACCAGCCATGAGTGTAGTGTAACCGCAGTCCTTGAGACCGAGAAGGATTTCCTCCTTCTGCTTTGGCGAGACACGAGCGTAAACCCAGGTGTATCGCAGAATCTGCTTCCATCCTGGCTGGCCAGCGAACTTCGAGAGTGCGTATCCGGTAAGGCAGATGTCTTTGGACTTCAAGATCTCGGCATCCAGAGGCTCGGTAGGGTCGACAGGAATGCTGACCTTGTCGTCAACACTGCGCCAGACAAGCTTCTCGCCAGAGTCGTCGTTTTCAGGTGCATCAAGGATGTAGCAATCGCGGTCGACGATTTCGACCTGCTTGGCGACGTGGACAGCGGTCAACGGGTTGTCACCAGTAATCATGACAACACGATGGCTGGACTCGTTGAGGGAACGGACAGCCTCGACAGCGTCAGGCTTGAGAGGGCATTGGAGGACAAGGAAACCGGCAAAGTGCAAGTCAGACTCGACTTGCTCACGCTTGAGATCGTTGATGCGGTTTTGGCCCCACTCTCCCTCTTCGGAGATGAACTTGTATGCGAGAGCGAGGACACGGCCACCATTACGGGTGAAGTGCTTGAAAGTCTCCTCGTAGTTCGGCGGGGTATTGACCAACATCTTGCGAATAGTCTCGGGCGCGCCCTTGACTGCAGCGATTGTGCTCTTGACCTTGCGGCCAGTCTTGGTGTTGTTGACGATGACGGTAGCGACGGAGCTCTGGCGTTTGAGGGCGGACGAGAATTGGAAGCGGCGGCGGATGTGTACGAGTTCGGCTTGGGATTTGGGGGTAGTCATGGTGGCTTGAAGTGTGTCCTTCGCTCCGAGTTTCCAGCCGAGAGACTGGAGGGTTGCCTTCTCCATAGGCTCTCCAACAGTCTCACCATCGTCGAGTTTGACCAGGGCGTGAGCGGCGGCGAGCACCAGGGTCGTCTCAGTAGCGACGTCCGTAACCTTTGCGAGATCGGTGTGCGCGCCATCTGCTGCAACTGTAGCTCCATCTTGTCCCAATGATAGTCCAGCAATGCCGTCCACGACCAAGTCTTCACCAGTCAGAGTACCGGTCTTATCGAAGCAGGCAACGTCGACCTGCCCGGCGAAGGGAATGCGGAAAGGCTCGGTACAGAAGATGGCGTACTTGCTCAGAGCAGCGAGGGAAGTGTTGACGGCCAAGCTGAGCTCCATTGGAAGCTCGGGAGGGACGACGCTGGTGACGATGAGGACGCAGTCGAGGAGCAGCTTGTTACGCTGGCGGTCGAGCCTGACACCCTCCTGCCAGACGTACCATGAGGCAGCGACGGCGAAGACGGTAAGGAAGAGAATGAAGAAGAGGGCTTCGACGTTGTTGGCGGAGACGCGCTCGGTAGCGAAGATCATGGTCCTGACGAGGCTGCCCTGGTTAGTCTCGAAGCCAGTCTTGATAACAACAGCAACAGCGCCCTTGTCCGGCGGCGGTGGTACACCAGACGAAAGCCTAGTGACGTTGCCGCCATCCTCCTCAGCGTCGCTACCGTGCGAGACCTGGAGCACCTTGGTGCCGCCCCAGAGGAACGAGTTCTTGTCTAGACCCTCAGGCTCGATGCGCGCATCGCCAGGTCGCAGTTGTACGGATTCCTTGAGCACCGGTGTACTCTCTCCGGAAAGCATAGCCTCGTTGACAATCGCGGAGCCCTCGAGTAGGAGCATGTCGCACGCCACACCAGAGTCTTCCTTGGTCCGGCCTGCGCTGACGACATCGCCGGGTAGCAGCTTGTCGCTCATGATCTCCTGCCACTTCTTCTGCCTGTATACCAGAATCTCGTAGGGCTTGATGCTCATGCCGCGGAACTCGTTCAGGGTCCTCTGTCTCTGCCACACAACGGTGCTCTCGAAAGCGACCAGCATGAACAGCGTGAACAGCGAGTAGTACCAGTATTCGTCCAGCATCCACAGTCCAACGCAGAAGATCTGGAAGACGAAGAAGGGCGCGACGGCGTGTTCCTTGAACAGCTCGGTGAAGGTCGGGACGGGGATGTCGAACGCGTTGTCGCCATAGTGCTGGGTGAGGCGCTCGATCTCGGCGGGCGAGGTGAGGCCCTGCGTCTGCTGGAACGTCTTGAGCTGGGGCTTGGGTTCGATGTCGAGCGGGTAGGAGAGCGGGGCGAAGGAGCCTTTCTCGGCGTCGTAGAGGAAACGGCGCTTCTGGAAGAGGAAGGAAAGGTTCGACTTTCCGCCCACGTTGTCGCGCACCAATGGCACAATCTCAGCGGCACCCGCGTTCTTGACGGGCTGCACTTTGATAAGCGATGCCGAGCGCACGTCGCTGGCCGAAGTCGTCGTAAAGGCGCTCTTGAGGTTGACGTTCCAGTGCGTCATGAGCCAGAAGAGCGACTGGAAGGTGGTGATGCTGGCGACCCAGACAAAGGTCCATTCCGACGACTGGATGTACTGCTCGTAGCGCTGCGGCGAAAAGTAGATGGCGGAGAAGGCGGGCCACACTATTAAAAAGGGCCAGATGTACGTGTGCAGCTGCAGCGGCAGCGGGTTGTGCAGGCTGGCCTGCTTGATCTGGGGGTTGTCGACAAGCGGGGCCATGGTTGTGGTTGTCGTGTCCAGACGAACGTCAGTCCTCGAAGATTATTGAGACCCTTTGCCTTCGCGCCCGCCGCCGTCGGCGCTACTTTGCCCGATGCACGTGGCGGAACATTCACGAACATGGGTTGAAAGCGGATTAGCGTCCGCCGTGATTGGTCCGTCTGCTGAACTCCTCTATCTCAACATTCTGTTTTCACCTTCAACGGCTTCACTATCTTTATTCTACATCATCCATCGAACAATGAATGCTCCACAGTGGTCGCATGAAACCCCGCCAGCGGCCCTCTGCAAAGCGCCAGTCCTCGCAGCCGCATCACCTCTGCCCAGGTAGCATCCATCCAATCTCCGAAAAACGTATCCGTCCATGCGACATGCCGCATTTCATGCTCAAGATGCTGTCTACTTCTAATCTGCCTCTTTCCACACAGTTCTGATAGCTGCGCGATCCACCACATGCGCTCTTCGCCTGTAGCAACACACCTCGCAACGACCAGAACCCAAAGCAAGGTGTTGAGATTCTTCTCTCGTTCCCATGTATCCAGCACTGATGCATTTGGTCGATCCAAAGCGGCACGTAACCGAGAAAGAAGGATGGTGAAGATCTTCGTGTTCAGTGGTAAGGCACGAAGTACTGCGTACACGAAGATGAGGGCTGCTGCAAGTAGGGCCTCAACCACACTCGCTGCATCCGCTTTAGCCTTGAGATGATCGTAGCAGTCGCTTTGTTTGTCATGTATGCTCTGGTCAAAGTGCAAGAAGTTGTGTGAGTGATCAGGTACTGAGAGAATCATGAACTGCGTTTCGTAGAGGAGATTGCTGAGAGTGAGGCGCTCCACACGGCCAACCCAGTGCGACGATACTGCTAGCGCGAGTCGATGGAGTTGATAGAATATCTTGAAGCAGTCGACTGCGCCGCAAGAAAGGTGGAGCAGTGACGTGGGCGACGTTTGTGCTGCTTCTTCTATGAGCTCGTCTGGCAAAGGAGGCGTATCCGGGTCCAGACTAATATGCGGGAAAGATGGATGCGCACGAAAGACTGCTGCGGTGTGAAAGTCCATCCTGTGAAGTGGTTTAGCGATGATATTGCGCGATGGGTGCCATTGAGCTTACCATATGATGCCACGTAGCAAGCCATCATTGTGTCCAAAGGCAAACAGTCCACCTCGCGCTTTCACCATACGTTTCAGTGCTGTGACGTGAAGCTGAGCCGCCTCATAGTCTCCAAGAAGATTCTAGAACAGTCAGCATAGGTCGCTCCACGGTAAGACGTGCTCATGCCTCGAGATTTGCCAAAGTCAACACAGTGCCCACCACCTCATCAGATATATATCCCCCAGACGTCGCAAGCTTGCAGTTGACGGCCTTGATTGCTTCATTCTTGTGCTTTAGATTGCACACTCTCAAGTCAGCGGGTTCATTGGCCAGCATGCCGTATAGTGCCCAGCTTGCGAGAGTCGCGTGCAGTAAGCCAGCATCATTCAAGATGAGTGACTTCCACGTGTGATGGGCATCGATGGCGACTGCATTGTTCTTGGGTGTACTCTTGTCTGTCTTTGGTGTCAGCTGATGGGGCCCTTGGCTTCAACATTCGCCCTCATAGTTGGACAACGTGTCTCGACGTTACGTACACAATTGGAACAGCGCACCCAGCTCTGGAGTTCCAGGGATGAGTGAAGCCTTGAAAGGATCTATCCGATCATCAACCAAGCCGCAATTCAGCACTGGCCTTGCTTCCAGTGTTTCATCCATGTTGTTTCTCTTGTCTTTGCCATCTTCCCCAGCCTTCGAAGATGTTATCGGTCCCGACCTATCTCTCAGATCTTTCGGCCTTGCTGCGCCCTGTTCTCTCGCTCTCCGTGCATCTTCCTTCTCTCTGTTCTTGAACTTCTTTTTCTTGATCCGAGGTTCGGATATCCGGAATCGGTTCTTTAGCTTCTTCTTCGCCATGGCCGTGCTGATCGAAGAGTGTTGAGACGGGTTGATCTGCGGTCCAGCCATCTTCATATCGAAGTGATTGCGCATCACCAGCCGGCGGATCATGCATCGTTCTGCACCAGCTGGGTTATATGGCTTATCCGTAGTTACAAAGAATTCGTACTCGCGCTCCATGATTTTGGTGAGCCTTGTCGGTAGATCTGATGGGATGGGTACGTCCGTACTCCAGAATTATAACTACGCAGTCAACAAATAATGGCTTGCGGCAAAATTTAGAGACTGTGGCTGGGGCGTTCGATATACCGCCTGTATATTCAATGTGGTACTTCGGCCTCCGACTACCACACCTCGTCATGTGCAACCATAAGCCACCTCATCGGCCGAAGCAGCGACCTATGCCCGGAGATAAGCTCGCGTAAGTGGTATCGAGTGTATGGGAAGTCATCTTGGCTGGCTTATATAAGACCTATGCTGATTACGGCAGCGGGGTCAACATGCGAGGTACTGTGCCATTGGACAACAGCAACACACGACGCGCGCCTCGTATGCGATAAGCGTCGGGCTTTCCGCCGATGTGTAAAGCGGCTGAGAGGGAAGCGCGGGGGGCCAAAACTCGTATTCTGGTAGCGACGCGCATGGGCGAATGATTCATGCAGCCCTACAGCGCGTCGAGAATCATGACTGCTGCATTTCGGGGATATCTCTACTCTACATACACAACACCTCTACAACCCCGAGTTGAATGCCACACCTTCAACGCCAACAGCCTACCCGAGACTCATTTCCATATCTATTTGCTCTTATCCTCTCTCAGACTGACGATCTGGTTGAGCACAATCTTATCCTCTGTGGAGTCAATATCGACACAGAAGTAAGCAGTGCGCAGCGCCTGGAAGCGCACAAGAGCATCCGACGATCCGCTCAGATCGAGTGAAGTCTCGCTGATGAGATCCTTGATACCCCGCTCGATGACCGCTTTGTCGTGAATGATTTCGGAGTTGGGGTTGAGATCATCAGCCCAGCCGCCCGTCTTCCAGTCCAGTGTGTTGGGTGACTCGGTCTTGAAGAGCGAATTGTACAGACGTGCTGTGACGGGAACGGCTGTTGCAGCGTCCACCCATTGAACGTAGGCTTTCGGCTTCTCGGTACCAGGCACCTTGACAGCCTTGATCTCAGACACGTTGCCGTTCTCGTCCTTGGAGAAAGATGTCGCACGGATCGCGAAGGGGACGTTGTATAGACCCACGGCCTTGTTTGGCGCCAGACGGAAGTAATCGGCGCTGTCCTCCTCTCTGAAGTCGCTGCGATCGATGTAAACGGCACTACCAATCTTCACCTTGCGCTCACCAGATATGGTGCCCTTTGGATCGTACGGTACTGTGATCTCTTGTTCGTCTTCGGTCGCAAAGTCTTCGATGACTACTTTGATGGGGTCGAGCACCATCATCTGACGCGGTACGGTTCGCTCGAGATGTTTGCGGATCGAAGCTTCGAAGCGTGGCGGCTCAATTTCGGAAAGCGAATCCGTGACGCCGAGCTCGTCCACGAAGTTGAGCATGGCCTTGGCTGGGATGCCGCGACGGCGCAGCGCAACCATGGTGAAGAGTCGGGGGTCGTCCCACCCTCGTACTACACCAGGTATCTTTTTGGTCTCGACTGTGCCATCCGCGTTCTTCTTTTCGACAGTTGTGCCTTCGACGAGCTGGAGGATGCGTCGCTTCGAGAGGATCGTGCCGCCAACGCTTAGGCGTCCGAACCTACGGGAGATTAGCATGGGTGAGTCTAGGTGGGAACCGTCACTTACTCTCGCTGCATTGGTCCCTTCTCCTCCGACTTGGGTACTTTCATGTCCAATTGCTCCAGTAGCCAGTCGTAGGAAATACGCGACTGGCGGAACTCGACTGTACACAACGAATGGCTGATTCCCTCGAGAGCATCGCAAATGCAGTGGGTGAAGTCGTAGGTAGGGTAGATTCTCCACTTGTCGCCAGTTCGGTGGTGGTGGTTCTCTTTGACAACGCGGTAGGCGGGCAGATCCCACATCTGCGGGTTGCCCTCATCCGGGTCCGTCAACTTCTGCTTCATGCGCAAGAAAGCCTCTCCAGCCTGGTATTTGCCATCGCGCATTGCCCGGAATTCGGTGAGGGACTCTTCGATCGGCCGCGTGCGGTGTGCGCAGCCATAGCGTTTGCCTCTGTTGTCGGGTCCTCCGCGCTGGTTGTTGATCTCCTCGCCTGCGCCAGAGTTAGTACCTCGCACATGACGATAGCTATGCAGACTTACGTGAGCAGTGGCACACATAGGCGCCGTCCTTCTTGATAAGCTGCTCTGCAAGCTCGTATAGCTTGTCAAAGTTGTCGCTGCTGTATGTGATCTTCCACGGCTCGAAGCCTAGCCACTTGACGATATCCAAGATAGCAGTGAAGTAGATCTCGTCCTCCTTCTCCGGGTTGGTGTCGTCGTATCGCAGGTAGCACTTGCCATTGTGATGCTTTGCGAAGCCGAAGTCGACGGCGATGGCCTTGGCGTGACCGATGTGGAGGAAGCCGTTTGGTTCGGGAGGGAATCGGGTTCTGACTTCTGACACGGGCTTCTCTTCGTAGATGCGCTTCAGCCAGCCCTCGGAGAAGATGCTCGTCGGCTCGCTCTTTGTGCTGGGCTTGGCCTGCTCTTTGGGTCGGAGGGCATGCTCGGCCTTCTTGGCCTTTGCTGCTGCTTTCTTCGCGGCCTTCTCGAGCGCACGCTTCGAAGGGCCCTTCTCCTCCTCGGCGGCCGGTGGGGCGGGAGCTGTAGGTTCCGCCATGTCTGCGCGACGTCAGTACACGTGTTGTCGAAGGTGCGTTGTGCGGGATGTACACGTGACTTTACAGCAGAAAAAAGACGCGTCGAGTTCGTTACTTACCAGGAAAGTGTCGATGTTGCTGCGGGAGGGGCTCTATCAATAACTTTGGAGGGGCATTGACTCAAACGCGCTACACCAGCCACACCCCTGACGCCACACCTACACGGCACCTCAACTTTCCCATCTGTCGCCCTCATCCACATCACACGCTGTGCCACCCACCCCTGAGTCGTGGTCGCGTGCGATTCAATCAAACCTCCAATTCATATGGCTGTCAGCGACTCTAAATGCTTCAATTGGCGTGCGTCGGGACCTGATCCCTTCACAACACGACTCTCACACCCGGACTCTAAGCCACCTAACGCTTGAGGATTCCAAGGGCGTGATCAAAGTATCGTGGTTGTCTCGAAGTTATATGACGACAGTTACGCTACAGCCTCGCTTTGTCGAGACATGGAATGCACTGCGAAACCAGACCTTGGAAACAACACAAAGCAGATTCAGAGCTTGGACGGGAATCCGGCAACATGATATCCAAGATTGACATACAAATACCCTAGTGGTAACTATGGATTCTATTCGTGTGCAACTAATTTCATCTCGATAGTGTTTCCAGCTTCAATATGCAACTTCGCCCTTTCCAAAGCATCATCAACTCTGCAAGTCGGAAATGCCGTCCTTCGGTACTGACACGAGGCATGGAAGGTGCACTTGGAGCTATGACAACTTCAATGTCAAGACGTGAAACTCTAAAGACAGCAAAACTCGGCGACCAACATGCCACTCCTGGTGCACACCCGATCCTTAACTATTTCTCACGACAGATGCTCAACGCGCGCCAATCTTTATATCGCTCCTTGTTTCGCACACGCTTTCCTGCCCAACGAGTAGCATCAAAATTCCCATCGATGGTGACCACAAGAAACAAAAACTATACCTACGACAACGTCCCCCAGGAACAAGGCGGAATGGGGACAGCAACAGAGACACTCGATGATCGGCGAGCAAGACAGGCGCGTCTTCTCCTTTCGAAACACTACGAGCCCGTCATCTCTGAGGTACTCAACGAAGAGATACCCAAGTACAAGAATGGCACTACCATCAGTGCAACAGACCGTGTGAAGTATATACGAGAATGCGCACGAATACTCGCTTCAGAACCGCCTATCCTACTAGCGGCAGTCGACGGCGATTTGGTGCGCCGCATGCGAACTGATCCTGATCTGAAGCGAGAATACGATCTCACCTGCAAGAATGCAGCAAAGCAGCCGTCCATATACATACACCAGTTCGCAGACCTGAATGGTATTCCGCCTACTCCGAATCAAATGCTTGTCATCTGCAATTGGATAGCCGACTACATAGCCGATGATCTGGCAGAAGGCAAAGCTTCCGAGCACTTCTGGCAGATAGACAACCTCTCCCCGGGAAGACCGCTGATTAACCAGCAGAACTCTGCCAAGGGTTACCGTAAGTATCTCTACACGACACATTCCAGTCGATCAAAGAAGCGTGTCGGTACCCTCGAACTCTTCTGTCAAGGTACCCAGAAACGTTGGCAGGAGACGCCAGCATCACTACGCGATACACCCCTTCGATATCCTCTTGGGGAGTGTGGATATTCTGAGAACTCTGAAAACCGTCTGAAAGAGCACCGCCAGCGGAAGTCATCCAACTACATAATGAACCTAGTCGAGGACATATCCACCCACCTCCACAACATCGGCATGTTTGAACAACACTTCACAATGCACCAGTATATTGTCTATCTCATCGACCGGCGGGAACAAGTGGAGATCGCGGAGATCTTTTGCTCCGCATTACTTCGAGTGTGGGTGAGTAGCGGCGGTGGTTTCAACTCGTACCCTGCTGGGCTTAGCGTCAACTCTTCGAAGAAGGTCAGCAATATTGACTGGGCTTCGTATGAGATGAACACCACCTTGCACTCCCCCATCACCGAAAATATGAGGATGCAGCAGCTTAGAGCAGATGAATACCGACAAGCACTGGAGTGGACGAATGACGACACTGTAGATTCGGAGACGAGAGAGCCAGCAAGCCAGGAAGAAGAGTGCATGTAAGTTGAACTACTGAAGGGCTCGATCAGGCACTGACGTAGCAATTATAGTGCTCATCTCTCACAGCTGTCGATGTAAACCCACTACCCTCGACCATGACTGCTATATCCTAGGATACTTCTCATTACTAAACCTTGCCACATTGTATGAATTCGAAATAACTCCTACTCCAGATATCACGATGTCCATTTTGTTGTGTCGCAAGTGATGTTCCGAGGTCGCCCCCCTTCGAGCCCCATAATCCCACGTCACAGTGACCTGTATGGCCACTCTTTCATATCAAACCAGAAAGACCGTATCTCGCTACCAAACACGACGATCGGGTGCAATGCAGGCAAATCTGCAACGTCGCTTCTCGAAGGCCACTATCTCAACCTCCTGCATTAACCCGAGTGAATGTCATAGCATCGCCACGTTACCGAACATCAACCATGTCTATGTAAGTCATCAAATTTAGTTTTGCGGAAGACATAGCATTTTTTGGGGGCTATCTCGAAGACATAGAGCACTGCGGAGGTGTTCGCAATATTTAAAGTGGCAAAATTCCATGAACCCCATTGTAGATATCATAGCCATCCATCTATCTAGAGCAAATCTATATTGCACATCAGATGAAAACTAACAATGAGCAGAACATTCGAACACCCCCGCTCCTACCCTGCCGCCCTGCTCAAGAAGCGCCACTCCCTCCCCTCCCACCTCCACATCTTCGTCGAACGACCAAGCCGACATGCAATACGCTCATCAAGAGACTTCAACTACGACGCCCTCAACAAGTCCAGCATCGAAGCCCACTTCCAGCGCAACGTCGCATCGAGCTTTATCTCATTGTACGAGAGCAAAGCCACTGCCTCGAGCAAATATCCTCACACCGACAAAGTGGGACAAAAACCGCGATCATTCGATGCCGCTGAAATGTCTATCCACACCAGTGGGCTGACAGCGGCATGGGTGACCGTAGACAAAGACGTCCGTCTTCCAGTATGGTTTGACAAGAACAGACAGGAGTCCGACAACGCAGACGACGAAGAGGTACTGTGGTTTTGCCTCCAAGAGCTGAAAGCAGTACTACAAGTCGATGAGAAGCTTGGGGAGAAGGACGAATGGCTTGCCTGTGGGTTCATTCCCGAAAGTAGGGTTGTCACTCGTCACGATTCATCGAATGAGGAGTACCCAGAGGGGGTAGTCAACGACAAGGAAATAGAAGAGGCTTATAGACAGGCTCGCCGCGACCGCCAACGTATCGAAGGGGAGAGGCTTCAAGTCGACGTGCCGGAATGTGAGCACAGACTCAAGAAGACGCTGTCTTCGGGCTTCTTGAAAGCCCCTCAGATCCCCAGCCGGAAAAGCTCTCTTGTGTCGCTGGATGGCAAGGCTGTGAGCCAGTCCAAGAAGACAGTTAGCGGGGCTTCAAAGCTTCGCGTAGATACGCGCGACGTGTCGGTCTCGCTGACGAATGCGGATCCACGGCGCGCAGCGTCGCTGATGAAGTATGCGTTGTTGCTGGCGCATGAAAAGAGGTTTGAAGCCGAAGAGTCGTGGCTTTCGGAGACGACTCGTTTGGCTGGGGGTGTAGATCGGGGGGATAGTACGAGGACAATCGATGATGTGGGTCGTAGAGAGAGGCGAAGCGGGTTTGTAGAGCGTCATAATGAGGCCTACTTGACGCCGCCGCAATCACCAATTACCTCATCTGGACGAAGGGGCATGCATGAGCGAAGGGGTCGTAATGGTGCTGATAATCCAGTCAAACGATACGAAATCGCTCGACAAGATGATGAACAATCAGTCCAGGAAAGGGGAAGACGTATGCGTCGCTCTGCCGCTCCATCGCCCTCGCAGTCTTTGCTAGGACATCATCTTGAAGGAGGCAACGCGTCTTCGCTTCGACCGCGTCTTTCGCGCCGTGAGCTCCTCTTGGAGCTGCAATCAGACGAAGACTCTGTTCTACGAGAGTACGCAAGAGTCAGTCTGCAGGATCCCTCTTCCCACCACCACACCCGGCACGACACGCCTAATGGCGCACCCTCAACATCGACGGCCCCGGGAACCCAGCAACCACCCAACCACACCGCCCAGAGTGCAGGTAACGATGAATTTAGCCCACCAGATGAATCGGTCTACTCCACCATGTCGTCTCTCTCCTCCTTGTCCGACCTCGCGCATGCTACCATCGAGGAGGCCACGTACGCTACCGTCCATCCTGGCTCCCATGTTAGGGAGATCGAGATACGGAGAAGGAAGTCGAGGCCGTCGTCTGCGGAGGCGAAGTTCAGCGAAGAAGAGGAGAGAGGGAGGAGTAGGAACGGACGGCGACAACGAAGAGTTTCGGGGGTGGCTGTAGAAGCACCAGCGGAAGAGGACGTAGAACCTTTTCCTACTTTTGATCCGATCGTACCGGGTCACGTACAGCTTTCACGGTCTGGAAGCAATGTTTCTGCGGTTGCTGTTGTTCCTTCGGCATCAACACCGATACCTCCACCAGTGGTCTTGAAATCCGAATCTTTCTTTGCTAGAAGGAAGAAACGGTTCGAGAAGGGCAAAGACGTTTCTGAGCGTTTAGCAGAGGCACAGGAAAGTCCGGCTGCAACGAAACCAAAGGTCATGAAGGATCTCTTGGAGTTTGCTGGGTGGAGGTCTGGTGATAAGAAAGATGGGTCGAAGTGAATAGGATGAGAAATGACTAGTAGGAAAAAAGGTGAGTTACATGACAAGACGAGCTGTCATGTTGGAGTTCGCTAACGGGTACACGGATCAGCGAAAGATGGAGATGCGAGTCGAGGAATAGAAGAGCGTCCCGCCATCGCCAAACCACAACATCCAAGAAAGCATCCACTCACACTTGCACCTGGAACATCATCTTACCAAAACGTCGTGGAGGTGAGGCGCCTTTCCCCAGTTTTCTCGTAGGTTTCCACTCGGACAACCCAACCGCCACCAACGAAACCACCACTCTACCCGCCTATCCGCATCCTACGATCCCCAACCCACATTCCCACCCCACAACAATTCGCACCGTTACCCACCCCTGATCCTGTACCCGCGCATCCCTCTGCATCCGTGCTAGCTCGCTCTCTTCCTATTCCCAATGCAAACCCCTGCCTTTCCGATTTACCCGGAAGCAGTAAAACGCACGGATCCGCACACCCCAATCGAGCAATGACGTGCCGAAAGCAGTGCTGGCGAAAGTTGGCAGCGAGGCATTGGACGCGCACGTTCGGCGCCGGGGGCAATGCAGAGAAAAGTTGGCACCGTGTTCCATGGTGGACTTGTGAGTTACTGGATTAGGCATCTAGAGAAGATGACGACGGGGATGACGGTGGTTGTGACGTTGGAGGTGTCGTGACGTCGAGGGTAATTATAAATGTGGTGGACAATGCGTGCGAGAGATGGTGTAGGCGGACGGAGCGGAAGGATTGCGCGGTGCGGTGATTGGGTGTGGTGCAACATTAAAACACCATCATCGATGTATTTGCAACATCGAGATTACCATATCGCGATGTTAGTTGATTGTTCGTGAAATTATAAGTGCACTGGTGATGAATTGCTTGTTCACATGCTACTTCGTGTATTACTATGGATGCGTGAGACGTGGTGCTCACAATAGGCCCGACCTTGCCTGCCTGAATTCCCCAAAGGACCGTTTTCGTATGAAGACACCCCATCGCCGCTGCCTACGCATGTACTTTGCTTGCGCCTCTACGCGCGGCTTTGTAGGCAGTTGTATAGGCTTTAGCCGCGATCTCTGGTGTGCGACGATGACAGACTCTAGCCCCAGTGAGGTGCATCATGGTGGCTCCTGCGTTGTCGGTTGTCAAGATGATCGGACCGTGGCGGGGGCTTTGAGAAATCGATATTGTGACCATGCCCTATAACGGGACTGGTTATTGTTCGGAAGGATACTCCCTCTCAGCTGTTCATCCAGGTTGTGGGCTAGCCATGCCACCCTGGTAAGCACTGGCAAAGTCTAGTTGTCCCAGTTGGCCATTAATCTGGTCGATCTCTTTGTTCAGGTCTTCCACATTCTGCGCCAAACTGGATACTTCGTCGAATCTTCGGTGTTTGGTGGCATCAGCGACCATTTCAGATACTATGAACTTCTGTTCCTCAAGTACGATCAACCGCTCTTTGAGTTCTTTCTCTTCTGATTCCATTGCGGAGACCTCGCTGCTGCTTACGACACTGCCAGTGGAGCGGTCGTTGTACTTAATGGACGCGAGAGCACTACCTCCATTCGTTCGACCTTGCGGGGCTGCATGCTTGAGGATCTTTGGTAACGCTCTGAGCGGTAGCATGTGTAAGCTCAAGAAGCTGTAAGCTTGCTGATATACTGCTCTTTGTAGCTTCTGCTGTGTCGGCGAGTCGGTGGGGAGATCTCGTATTCGTTTTGCGGCTACATCGAACTGTGCAAAGCCGTCCATTAATCGTTTGCGCACCTTGGTCGCGTCAGTCAACTGCTGCGGCGTGGGTGACTTGTCTGGGTCTTGCAAGGCCTGCAGGAGCTTGTGGAATCGTGGAAGGAGTAATCGGATGCCACGTTCGAATTGCGCAAGGTTCTCGTATGCACGCTGGTCCTTTGGCTTGTCGGCTAGCTCGCGCTCAAAGTCGCCTCTAGCGAACAACGTGTGCTGGCAGTCTTTGCACATGCGCACGTCAACACTCATCTGCGCAGCATCTTTTTCAGTCGTCTGCGTGCTAGCAACATTGAGACCTATCTCCGAGGAGCAGCCAGTCTTGGGGTCGCTGCACACGACGCGTCCGCACATGCGGCAATGTGATCTTCTGAATGTGTATGTGGAAAACTCCTGCTGACAGAACGGACAGTTGGGAACTGTGGCGTCTTCTTCCCATGTGATGATAGATTGCTCCAGAGCCTTGCGTTGATTCTTGACACCCGGCAGCGAAAACCAGCTCCCAGCAGTTTGTGTTTCTTCTATCGGGGGCGGGTTTGCGAGAAGTTGCGTCAACTTGGTAAGACGCTTCTCAAGCCGGCTGACTTCCATGCGCTCTCTATCCACCCGTTTCCGTCTGATCTTGGCGAATTCGTCGAAATGGTCGCGCTCGAAGCCGTGATGATCGTTGTACCCGTCCCGCGACTTGTAGCACGTCTCGCACACGCGACACCAGACGCCTCGGACAGGGTCGTGCTTAGCCTGCCGCGAGAGCTTCATCTGGTACATGGTGTGTTCCTCGCAGAACAGCCTGCCACACTGTCTGCAGTTGACTGCTGGCTGACTCCCGCCTAACGCCATTTGTGATGCTGTGACGGGCCTCGCGCACATGGGGTCTGAGCAGACATCGCGGTAGCCAGGCCTCTGCCAATGTGATCGCGTGACTTCCTCCTCGGGGTCTCGGCGGACGGGTGCGGGTTCGTGGGCAACGTGGGCGGTCGAACTGCTCGCGGAGTGGGAGATCTGGGGTGGCGACGGGACATCGTTGGATTCGAAGACGTCGAGTCCCTTCAGCTTCTGGTTGAGCACGGCGAGCGGCTGGAACTTCTTGGCCTTGTGCATCTGGGCCTCGAACCAGTTCTTGACCTCATCCTGCTCCTCCACGACCAGGTTCTGGTGGTTGTCGTCGAGATGTCTACTAATGGTCAGGGCTAACATACTGGGCGGCTGGAAGGCGGTGGTACCTGTTCAGTTGTAGTAATGTTACCTGCTACGTCAGACGACTGTTCTTGCTGCAGCAGGTGCTATGAACCCACCATTTCCTCATTGCATATCGGGCACACGAGTCTGCTGGAGGCACTCGCCGCGGCATTCTCGCTCGGGCCCACCAGGACCTTGCTGCCGATATCCTCGCGCGTCTCTGCGGTGCTGGCGGGGCTGTTGGAGGCCTGCGAGTTGAGCGAGACGGAGCTCTCAGAGGGCGAGAGCAGGCTCGCGTTGCGGCGGTGGGCGGCTGCAGGCTGCGGAGGCGCAGCGGCGGGCGACAGGTTCCTCCCGCTGCCGAGGACGCGGCCGCCGCCCAGAGACCTGCGCGAGGTCATATTCGGGAGTGTCTGCTGGAGTCGTGAAGGTACATGGGCCGGCATGGGTAGGCTAGGGCGTGGGTCTTGGGCGCGCCGTTGCAAGGGCCGCTAGGGATGCGCTGCAGGACCACATGCCGGCATCTTGGAAACGCGTCCCCGTCCCGCAGTCGCACCGTCCAGGGAGACATGGCTAGTGGCAGCGAGGGAACCATTATTGCGTGATTGCGAAGTGCATGCGATAAGAAAACTCTACAGCCCAGCCAGCCCGGCCGACGAACTCAGCACGGCCTTGGCAATGACGCGGAATCGAGACATGGCTATCTCCGCGCTGCGTGCTCCATCTCCGCAACACTCTCCGCACCATGAAAGGCCCCTACCCCGAGATCCAGGGCGGCGGCTCTCTGATTCTCGCATGGCAGATCCGCAATAAGCGCGTCCTGGTCGTCGGCGGCGGCGAGGTACGTCTACACCCCCAGGCCCCTTGCAAAGTATTGACAGTTGACAAAAGTTTAGGTCGCCGCTGGTCGCATCGTCAACGTGCTCAATGCCGACGCCAAAATCACCCTCGTCTCCCCGCGCGACGGCCTCAACGAAGAAGTCGCCTACCGGATAGAACAGGGCCAGGTCGACTACATCGATCGCAAGTTTGAGCCCCAAGACCTCGATGGCGTCGACATGGTCCTGACGGCCGTCGACGATCCCGAGGCCTCGTCGCAGATCTACAAGCTATGCAAGGAGAGGCGGATAGCAGCCAACATTGCCGACGTCCCGCCCGAGTGCGACTTCTACTTTGGCAGCGTGCACCGCGATGGGCCGCTCCAGATCATGGTCAGCACAAATGGCAATGGCCCCAAGCTCGCCAACATCGTCAGGAGGCAGATAGCAGCTGGGCTACCATACAACATCGGCAACGCCGTGCAAAGAGTCGGCATGCTGCGGAGGAAGCTGCGAAAGGTCGCTCCGAACATCGAGGAGGGCCCAAAGCGGATGCAGTGGTATGTTGCTTACATCGCATCCGGAAGGTACCCACTGACTCAGCCAATGCAGGATGTCCAAGGTGTGCGAACAATACTCGCTCGACGACCTCTGCGCCATGACCGAGGAGGACATGGAGATGCTCCTCGGTTTCTACAGACCCGGAACCGTGCCGACGCTCGAAGAAGTACGACTGCAGGAAGCTGACGGAGCGTACGACGGGCCTTTCTTGATCTGATTGCATATGGAACCGGCGTTGGGTAGACAGCATACAGTAGGTATGAGCGGGAGTTGCGGCGACGCTATCAAATTCTTGTATATCAATTGTACTCTCCTACGCTCTCACCTACCTCCTAGAAGTTTACATCGCCTTGGGATTTCGTAAACTTTGCTTTTTGTTCTAATGCAGGCGGCAGCGCATCTGTTCAGTTTCCAGCTGGACTAAGGTGTCCGGTGGCTCCTTCCTCGTCCCATCTCCTCCGGTCCTGTCAGCCAATCAGCATGAGTTGGCCCAAGCGTCTTCTTCCCGGCACTTGCCTGTTGAATGCCTCCCTCACCACATCCTGCAGACTACATCACATCGACACTGCCGTTTCTGCACTCCATCACCTAGATGTCGGCGTTAGAGAACAATATGGATCTTGCGCAGCGACCACCTTACGACACCGTCGATTTCAAGGCCCTCACAAAGAGCGACAAGGTATTCAAACAACTATGG